TCTTTTTTAAAGAAAGGCTTTTCTCTGGTAATAAAGGAAATTAATCCTTGGTTTCTCCTAGTTGTTGCATGGTTTCATTTATAAGAATATTTAGAAGAATATGTTTCAGGACAAAATATCTGCAAATAAATCTAGTAGTTCTTTTATTGGGATTGTTGGTATTATTATTTTGAAACTATTTTATGTAAATTGTAGGATAAGACAACTAATTCTGTCAATGTTGTTAGGAGCCAAGATTTTTAGGGGAAAAAAGAGGTATAAAATCAAGGAATTAGGTAAAAAACCTGAAACATTGTGTTTTATATGAAATTATCAGTATTTGCTCATATTTTTATTTTTTATTTTTTCAAGATTTTATTTACTTATTTGACAGAGAGAGAGACAGTAAGACAGGGAACAGAAGCAGGGGGAGTGGGAGAGGGAGAAGCAGGCTTCCCACTGAGCAGGGAGCCCCATGCAAACTCCATCCCAGAATCCTGGGATCATGACCCAAGCTGAAGGCAGACACTTAACGACTGGGCCATCCAGGCACCCCTATTTTTAAAAATTATATTTGTTAGTACTGAAAGAGCCTAGAAGCAATGATAATACAATATTTATGAGCATTCCTAGCTCCCAGATGAGTGATTTCCTTTAAAAGTAGCAACGAATCCTTTTTAAAAATTGCAAGAAGCTTTCAAAGACTAAAGGAGTAAGGTTGGAAGAACACAGGAGCCAAAGTTGGGTCAAGTTGAGGATCAAAAAGAAAAAGTAACTATAATGGATTAAAATGCCTTGAATATATATATTAAAATCAGTGTGTCTACAATGATACTCAAAAGGAAACATCCCCCCCCAAAAAATGTTTTTTAAAAACATTTTTGTTTGTTTGTTTATTTAAATATATTATTTATTTATTTGACAGGTAGAGAGAGAGCACAAGTAAGCAGAACAGCAGACAGAGGGAGAGGAAGAAGCAGGTTCTCCGCCAAGATGACAACCCAAGGCAGGGCTCCATTCCAGGACCCTGAGCCAAAGGCAGATGCTTAACTGATTGAACCACCCAGGAAACCCCCAAGAAATCTTTAATTTGTTGTTCCTCCAGGCACCTATAGATAGATAGATAGATAAATAAGTAGACACATAGAGACATAGAGATATAACATATAATATTCTGAAAACTTGTAATTAAAAGGAAAGAATTAAACATTTATTTTGGTTTATTAGTAGGAAGCATATTTCAATGTAACCAAATACAAAGCAATCAAGCGGGAGTTATTCCAGGAATTTCCATAGCTCAAAATTAGCAAATCTATTAATAAAATTCTTTATCAACAGGTCTAAGGTGAAAACCAAATGATCATCTCCACAGATGTTGAACAAGCATTTGACAAAATTAACAATCATTGTTTTTCTTTAAAAACTGGCTCAGTGGGTTGAGTGTCTGACTCTTGATTTCAGCTCAGGTCATGATCTCAGGGTCATGATATCCAGCCCCACACTGGGCTCCATGCTCAGCACGGACTCTGCTTGTCCTTCCCCCTTTGCTCCTCACCCCACTTGCACATGCTCTTTCTCTCTCTCTCAAAAATAAATAAATAAATAAATAAATAAATAAATAATATATTTTTTAAAAAATCACTCTTTAAAGGGGTTAGAAAAAAAAGATCAAAACCCAAACCCAGCAAAAGGAAGGAAATAAAAAAGATGAGAGCAGAAATAAATAATAGAGAAACCAAAAAACTCCAAAAGAACAGTTATCCTTTTCTCTGTAATTGCGGTGTGTGCAGTTGAGGGTTCCTCATCATGTTTTCTCTAAAGATTTTTCAGGATCAAGTTATTCCAGGTCCAAATGAAGAGTCAGACACTTAACTGACCGAGCCACCCAGGTGCCCTGCACATTTTTTTCTAATGTAATAAAATACATTTTTTTCAGATCCAAATAAAGTAGAGTTATGGTATTAATATATAGCTTTAAAAAACTGCTCATGATGAGGCAGGCAATAATACAAAAATCATCCCTACTAAAGTCCGAAACAGGACAAGGATGTCCATATCATCATTATTATTTAACATTCATTGGAAGTAATTGCCAATATAACGAGGTTAGAGGAAGATATTACAAACATAAAAATTGAAAACAAAGAAGGAAAATGCCTATTATTTTCAGATAAGGTTTCCTTTCTAGAAAAATCCAAATAATCAACTAAAATTTTTCTATAAATAGGGGCGCCTGGGTTCCTCAGTTGGTTAAGCATCCAATCCTTGGTTTTGGCTCAGGTCATGATCTCACGGTCATGGGATCAAGCTCAGTGTCTGGCGCCACACTCAGTGAGGAGTCTGCTTCAAATACTTTCACCCTCTTCCTCTGCTCCTCCCCAATCATATGCACACTTTCTCTCTTTCTCTCTCAAATAAATAAATAAGTCTTTTAATAAAAATAAAAAATATTTTTTTCTATTAATGATGGAACTCAGTAAGGTAGCATAGAATGAAGATTTTTCAGAATTTTATGGTTTTCATGTATTCAAACTACATATAGATAGAAAATGTAATGAAAGAAAGTCCCATTTACAATGTCAATAAGCAATAATAAAGTAGGGGTGCCTGGGTGGCTTGGTGGGGTAAGCCTCTGCCTTCGGTTCAGGTCATGCTTTCAGAGTCCTGGGATTAAGCCCTGTATCAGGCTCTCTGCTCAGGGGCGACCCTGCTTCCCTTCCTCTCTCTGCCTGCCTCTCTGCCCATTTGTGATATCTGTCTGTCAAATAAATAAATAAAATCTTAAAAAAATAATAAGGTAACTAGTAATACATCTAACAAGAGATGCAAGCTTAAATGAAAAAAAACTTTAAGACAACAATGATGGATACAAAATAAGAGGAGCAAATGGAAAGACATATGTTCTCAGATAGAAACACTTGTCATTAAAGATGTTGATTTTCCCTAAGTTAATAAATAAATTTAAACAAATTTCAATGAAATTCCTATAAGGTTTGTTTTGCTGTTCTCCTTTTTTTTTTCCAAGTAGATGACTCAATCCTAAAATTTATATTAAAAAGCAAAAACATGGGGTGCCTAGGTGGCTTAGTCAGTTAAGCATCTGCCTTCAGCTCAGGTCATGATCTTAGGGTCCTGGGATCTAGTCCCCTATTGGGCTCCCTGCTCAGTGGGGAGTCTGCTTCACCCTCTCCCTCTGTGTGAATGCTCTCTTTCTCTCTCTCTCAAGTAAATAAATAAAATCTTAAAAAAAAAAAGCAATAACATCAGAATAAAGGAGTAAATAATGGGGACCAGCACAGAAAATTATTGAAATACAGAGCTTCCTCAACTTAGGATAGGGGTATGTCCCAATAAACCCATCATAAATAGAAAATATCCTAAGTAGAAAATGCATTTAATACACCTAACCCACTCAACATCATAGTTGTATTGAGCCCATCTAAAATGTGTTCAGAACACTTAAATTAGTTTACAGTGAGCAAAATCATCTAACAAGTACCTGTTTTATAAAGTGTAGACTATCTCATGTAATTGATTGACTACTGTACTGAAAGTGAAAAACAGAATGGTTTATGGGTACAGAGTCACTTTAAGTGTATGGATTTTGTGGCTGACAGGAGCTATGGCTCACTGCCACTGCCCTGCATCACAAGAGAGCATCATACTGCATTTTGTTAGTCCAGGAAAAGATCAAAATTCAAAATTCAGAGTATGATTTCTACTGAACACATACCACTTTCACACCAACATAAAACCAAAAAATCAGTAAGTAGAATCATTGTAAGTCAGGGACCGACTATATCTTTAAAAGCCTCAGTGATTAAAGCAGTGCACTGTGGTGCATGAATAGGGAGATAGTCAATGGGATAGGATAGAAAAATGCAGACATACACTCCAAAATATACAAGAATTTAGTAATAAAGTTTCAAACAGCAGGGCAAAATAGACTATTTGACAATTGTCATTGGGAACACTATGTAGCCATTTGGAAAAGAAAAAGTTGGATTCATATTTTACATCTTATATTAGGATAATGTAATTCCAAATGGATCAATACTTAAAATGGGAATTAAAATAATAAAAATTCCAGGAAAAAAATGGAAGTATTATTTTACTATCTTGAAAATAACAATAACTGGAAATCTAGAAACCATAAAATGAAAGTAAATAAATTCAACCACATAGAAATAAAATATCTTCTGTATGACAAGATGTAAATAGCAAGTAAAAAACAGAAGAAAATATTTGTAACTCAGTCAGATGGTCTTATATAAAAGGAAGAAAATTTAGCAGCTATATTTGCATTTGCTTCTGTATGTATAAAGAAACTGGAAAAATCCACTGAAAATGAAGAATAGCCATTATTTATGGCAGCAGTCAAGTACTGGGTAGATGGATTATAAGAATGGGAGAGGAACTTTTCATTGTATAACTATATATTTTGACTTTTGAACCAAGTGAATAGATGGCCTATCTGAAAAGTTAAATTTTTAAAAAGTTCCTACTCTTTTTTTTTTTAAGATTTTATTTATTTACTTGTTAGAGAGAGAGAGAGAGAGAGAGAGAGCATGAGCACAGGCAGACAGAGTGGTAGGCAGAGGCAGAGGGAGAAGCAGGCTCCCTGCCAAGCAAGGAGCCCAATGTGGGACTCGATCCCAGGACGCTGGGATCATGACCTGAGCCGAAGGCAGCTGCTTAACCAACTGAGCCACCCAGGCGTCCCAAAAAGTTCCTACTCTTATATAGCTTACTTTCCAGTGCAGAGAGACAGAAGATAAACAAATAAATATATACCTTAGATCATAGTGAGTAACTAAAACCATGAATTCAAGGAACATCTTTAATATGCTTCATTAATCTTCATAGTGCCTTATAAATGGTGACACACATACTGGCAGCTCAATAAATACTTTCTGAATAATTACAAAATTATTTAAGCCCTATTTGTATGATATGTTATTATTCTACTTGCTTTCAATGTAAGGATCTAGATCATCAACTGAAAATATAAAAAAATTTACCTGTTGCCAGTAGTGTTGGGAACATGAATCTTCAGGTCTTCTGTGACATCTCTCATCATCCTTTGATAACCAGACATTCCTGAGTCTTTGATATAATAAGGATTGTTTCTCATTAAGTATTCCCCCAAATGATTAATTGGATTAAACCTGGTTGTATTACCAACCTCTGCCCAAAGCTGCTTCTTTTCCACTTGCATTAACATTTTTTCCACTCCAGGAACTAAGGTAGGCAGAAGTTTGTCAAGCAAATATGCACGAGTGTTCAGTGTCATGTTGTCAGCATTAAACCACTCTTTGGCCAAATTATCCCTGGGGAGTTTTTTTCCAGCCTTTTTTTCTTGTTCTTTCTTCAGATTATCCTTGTCTATTATTTTCTGCTGCATTGCCCGGGCTTTTGCTTCCAATCTTTCAAGACATTTTTTCTTCCATGGCTGTTCTAGCTTTGAATTCAGTGGGGCTGGATCTATATTGAAAATCACTTTTGCAGGTTTTCTAACCACCAAATTCTTTGAAGCCTTTATTGAACACACTGAGGTTTCTGTCTGCTCTTCCAGGTGCATTCCTGAGGAAGAAAAAAAGTGAAATGTAAGAAATATTAGAAGTAGATTTTAATCTGTTACTTTAGAATATTGTTAGGAGAAAAAGTCCCATCCTGCCCCCCTCCCCGGCCAGAGCAAGATGGTGGAGGAGTAGGAGAACTAAATTCCGTCGGGTGCCAGGAATTCAGCTAGATAGTTATCAAACCATTCTGAGCACCTACAAACTCAACAGGAGATCGAAGAGAAGAGCAGCAATTCTAGAAACAGAAAAGCGACCACTTTCTGGAAGGTAGGATGCGAAGGGAATCTGAGGCAATATATGGGAGGAGAGACCATGGAGAGAGGGGCCGGCTCCCGGGAAGCAGTACAGCCACGGAGCATAAAATCAGAACTTTTAGAAGTCTGCGCCACTAACGGACATCGCTCCAGAGCCTTCATGGGGACAGTGTGGTCTCAGGTCCCTCGGAGTCACAGAAAGACCAGGGATACCAGAGTGTGGCAGAGCTCCCAGGTATTGGAGCGGGGAAGCCGGCTACAGAGACAGAGCCGAGGAGTGAACTCTCAGCTCGGGGTTGCCATAAACTGTGATCTGAGGCACAGTTGGGCTACTACTCTTTGAGTAGGGTCCCCATAAGTTGCAGATCTGGAGAGAGTCACCTCTTCATCCTCCAGGAGGAGCAGTGCGGGAATGCAGTGCAGGAATCTGCTGAGTTTGGAGACCAAACGGCGTCATGCGCACCAGAGATAGAAAAGCTTGGTCACCGGCTGGGTGAGCACAGAGTGTGGCTGGAGACCAGGGAGACGGCAGGGATTGACTGCTTTTCTCTGAGGGCGCACTGAGGAGGGGGGCCCCGAGCTCTCGGCTCCTCTGGGCAGGAGATTGGGAGGCCGCCATCTTCATTCCTGTCCTCCAAAGCAGTACAGAAAGTGTTCAGGGAACAAAAGCTCCTGAGCGCGAACCCAAGCAGGTTACTTAGCTTGGCTCCTGGCAAGGGTGGCGCAATTCCACCTCAGGCAAAGACACTTGAGAATCCCTACAACAGACCCCTCTCCCAGGAGATCAGCAAGAACATCCAGCCAAGACCAAGTTTGATCAATGAGAACTGTGGAACTCCTGAACTAAGGGAATACAGCACATAGAATTCATGGGTTTTTTTCCCCAGGATTCTTGAGTCCCTCAAAGTTAAATTTTTAAAATTTTCTTTATTTTTTTCTTTTTCTACTTTATTTGAATTTTTCCTCTTTCCTGTTTTAACCAACATCTTATTAATACCTCTTAAAAAATCTTTTTTAATTTTCATTTTTATAGTCATATTCTATCCCTTCATTGTACTTAACCTTATTTTTTGTATATATATAAGTTTTTCTTTCTTTAAAATTTGAGGATACAGCTTCTTCTAACAGACCAAAATATACCGTAAATCTAGTATATGGCTTTGTTCTAGTCCCCCTGATCACATTTTCTCTCTCTCCCTCTTTTTTTTTTAATTTTTTCTTTCTTTTTTTCAACCAACTTCTTATCAGTTCCTTTTTAAAAATCTTTTTAAAATTTCATCTTTATAATCATATTCCATCCCTTCATATTTACCCTACTATTATTGTATTATTGTCAATGTGTTTCTTTGATTTTGTTATTAATTGGGTTATATAATTGGCTGCTACCATGTTGGGCATATAGATATTTAAAATTGTTAGATCTTCTTGTTGGACATACCCTTTTGGTATGACATAGTGTCCTTCCTCATCTCTTATTATAGTCTTTGGCTTAAAATCTAATTTATCTGATATAAGGATTCCCACCCCAGCTTTCTTTTGATGTCCATTAGCATGGTAAATTGTTTTCCACCCCCTCACTTTGAATCTGGAGGTGTCTTTGGGTCTAAAATTAGTCTCCTGCAGACAGTGTATCAATGGATCTTGTTTTTTGTTTGTTTGTTTTGTTTTGTTTTGTTTTTTAATCCATTCTATACCTGTGTCTTTTGATTGGAGCATTTAGCCCATTTACATTCAGGGTAACTATTGAAAGATATTAATTTAGTGCCATTATATTGCCTGTAAGGTGACTGTTACTGTTACTGTTACCTATAAGGTGACCTTTCTGGTCTATGTTACTTTTAGGCTCTCTCTTTGCTTAGAGGATCCCTTTCAATATTTCCTGTAGGGCTGGTTTGGTGTTTGTAAATTCTTTTAGTTTTTATTTGTCTTGGAAGCTTTTTATCTCTTCTTCTACTTTCAATGACAGCCTAGCTGGATATAGTATTCTTGGATGCATATTTTTCTCATTTAGTGCTCTGAATATATCATGCCAGTCCTTTCTGGTCTGCCAGGTCTCTGTGGATAGGTTTGCTGCCAATTTATTTCTACCGTTGTATGTTACAGACCTCTCGTCCTGAGCTGCTTTCAGGATTTTCTCTTTGTCACTGAGATTTATAAGTTTCACTATTATATATTTTTATTGATTTTGAGTGGGGGTCTCTGTGCCTCCTGGATTTTGATGCCTGTTTCCGTCCCCAAATTGGGGAAATTCTCCACTATAATTTGCTCCAATATACTTCCCCCCCCTTTCATCTTCTTCTGGGATTCCAATTATTCTAATATTGTTTTGTCTTATGGTATCACTTATCTCTTGAGTTCCCCCCTTGTGATCCAATAGTTGTTTTTCTCTTTTTTCCCCAGCTTCTTTATTCTCCATCATTTGGTCTTTTATATCACTAATTCTCTCTTCTGCCTCATTTATCCTCACAGTCAGAGCCTCCAATTTTTATTGCATCTCATTAATAGCCTTTTTAATTTCAACTTGGTTATATTATAGTTCTTTTATTTCTCCAGAAAGGGATTCTCTAGTGTCTTCTATGCTTTTTTCAAGCCCCGCTAGTATCTTAATAATTGTTATTCTGAACCCTAGTTCTGACATTTTACTTATGTCCATACTGATTAGGTCCCTGGCAGTTATACTGCCTCTTGTTCTTTTTTTTTTTTTTTTTTTTTTTGAGGTGAGTTTTCCCATCTTGTCATTCTGTCCAGAGAAGAATAGATGAGCAAGAGAACAAAATACCAAAATGGCAACAATGACCCCAGAGAAATATACATTAAACAAATCAGAAGAGATTTGAAACTGAAAAAAAATTAAAAAGAAAAAAAGAGAATATAATGAGACGTGTGAGCAGAATAGAGCAATACACTGGATTCTGCATGTATTTTGGTCTTTTTTTTCCCCTTAGAAAACCAGATTCCAAAATTGTCAAGAAAGAAAAACTTACACATGTACAAAAATAAAATCAAATACAATGAAAGGATAGAATGTAACTAAAAATTAAAGTTGAGACCAAAAAAAAAAAGGAAAAAACAAGGAATATAAACAGATATGTGAACAGAACAGAACGATATACTATAACCTGAGTGTATTTTGGTCTGTTTGTTAGAAAAAACTGCATCCCAAATTGTAAAGAAAGAAAAACATATAGGTACAAAAATTAAATTAAACACAATGAAAGGATAGACTGTAACTGTAAAAATGAAAATTTAAAGAGATTTTTAAAAAACGAGTTGGTAAAATAAGAAATTGGTTGAAAAAGGGGAGAAGAAATTTTTTTAAAAAGGGGGAGAAAAAAGTTAAAATTGAAAGACTAAAGAATTGTGGGGGGAAAAACATGAATTTTACATACTATTTTGCCTTAGCACTGGAGTTTTGTAGTTCTCTATGATCGGTAAACTTGGTCTTTTCTGGATGTTTTTGGCAATGTGAGGTGGGGCATCTTGCATTGATTCCCAGGTGTCTTTGCCTGGGTAGAATTGCACCCCTCTTGCCAGGGGCCAGGCTAAGTCATCTTCTCTGGTTTCTCTGTGTGGCTTTTGTTCATTGAAGATTTTCTGCACCACTTTAGAAGATGAGAATGAAAACAGCGGCCTCCCAATCTCCAGCTCTAGAGCGGAAAGCTCAGGGACTCGCTCCTCAGCACGCCTTCAGAAAAAGCAGTCAATCACTCCTGTCTCCCTGGTCTCTGTCCACACTCTATGCTCACCCAGCCTGTGACTGAGCATTTCTCTCTCATGCACATGACCCCATTTCGAGTTTCCAAACCCTGCAAATTCCTATGGTGTGCACCCACGCCACTCCTCCCAGGGGAGGAAGGGGGTGTCTCCCTGCAGTTCTGTTGCTTGCTGGACCCCTACTGGCAGAGCAGTCACCCAATCATGCTGGGGTTCATGGTATATGCCAACACCAAACTGAAAGCTCACTCCTGGGCTCACTGATTTCAGGCAGCTTCCCCTTTCCAATGCCTGAGAACTCTGTCCCACTCAGGCACCCCCCACTCGCCCTGTGACCCCCAAGACCATACTGTCCCACCCAGGATTCTGTCCCACTTCACCACCCGAGTGCCTTTCAGGTAGGGATGTCCCTCACAGGAGCAGACTTCTAAAAGTTCCAATTTTGCGCTCTGCTGCGAAATCACTCCCTGCTGGCTTATGGAGGCTCTGTACCCCCCACAGCTTATCTCTCCAAATATCACCTTGAATTCACATCTCCATACCTCCTACCTTGCAGACAGTGATCACTTTTCTATTTGTAGAGTTGCACTTACTCTTTTCTCAGATCTCCAGTTCAGTTTGCAGGTGTTCAGAATGATTTGATAGCTATCCAGATGAATTCCTGGGACCAGAGGAAACTAAGATCTCCTACTCCTCCACCATCTTTGTTGGTCCTCAGGTAAATCTTTTCATTTGTTTAGGACATCTTTAATGTCTTTTGGCAAAGCTTTACAATTTCAGTATTGAGGTTTTGCTCATTTTTGGTCAGATTTGTTTCTAGATGTTAAGGGGTTTTGATACTATTAAAATGGTATTTAAAATATTTTATTTTCTAATTATTTATTGCTAATATACATACATATAATTGTTTTTTTCTTTCTTTCTTTCTTAAAACCTTTACTTTGAGACATGGAAAAATCTTACAGGTACACATAGAAAAGTAAAACATGATCACAGTTAAAAAGTGAAGACAGTATAACCAGAAAGCTTTAAT